TCAGCAAATAGGTCACATGGTGGTAAACACACATACAACCTCCCTGCAAAACATAAACCAGTGAAAAATAAACAGGGTCTTACACTTCCACTTCCCCAAAGTGTTTTTTTTTTCCTTTCTAGTTGACTTTGGGGATTAATTAATAAAGGTTGCTGGAGGTAATTTGTGGTAGAGAAGTTACAAATATTGCCATGAGGTTTTGCAAATTTTCTGTAAAGTTTAAACCAAGCTTAGGAAAATTTGGTTTCCTTCTTAAAGAAAATTGAAGGTCAAATTATAACTGAATAAAGTTGTGGGTGTGTGGACCAGCTTGTGTATTATACATTATGTATTCCTAATGTCTAGCTTCTATGACAGGCTGGCAGAAACTAGTTTTTGTTACCTGAGGGAGAAAATCTAAATGAAGCATCCCACATTATGGAAAATGTGAAGATCAACTACCTGACATGGAAGACAAATTGATCCCTCACACTTCACTTAAAGGAGCTGATTGAACTCACAGCTGAATTATTTCAGTGCTGGTGACAGGAAAGCATCCTTAATCATAACTGGAAACAGGCATAAGGTAGGTTCATGGCACATACAGCTCTTGCTGCTAACATCACTGGCCTGCACTTCACCAGGCTCTAGATCCCCAGCAAAGGTTGCAATAGTATGTGTTGTGTGACCAGGGCAATCTTGATTTCCTGAGATTTATGAATTATACTAATGCATAAATCACCACCCCTGCCACCATTATTATATTACTCCAAGTTGCCAAAGTAAGCCTATATTCTTCAACCATTATTGTAATAACCAGAAATCAGCATTTCTACAACATTACACTTCCCAATCTTTCATTAAATAACCTTTGCTATGTGAGCTACCACTGAGCTTCTTTCTTTCTTTCTTTCTTTCTTTCTTTCTTTCTTTCTTTCTTTCTTTCTTTCTTTCTTTCTTTCTTTCTTTCTTTCCCTTTCTTTATTTCCTTTCCTCCTTCCTCTCCATTCAGAAACATAAAATAGCAAAGAAGAAAAAAAAGAAATGTATAAACTATATAAAATGGAGTAAAAATTTGAAGTAACATTAGGTTAGTGCTGCATAAACAAATGAGCAAAATCACTTTTACAAGTTAATGTTCAATCATTAACAAGGGCAGTCATTATAATAATAACAAGAGTTTCTATCTGACAAAATGTTCTCCTCTTTAACAACTCAGGCAAAAACTAATACATTAAATCCTTATGTTCGTGAAAGATTCCAAGCTTAATTAAATTTTATATCTGACTTATTTTTAAAACAAAGTTATTTTTTACATTCATGTATATACCTAAGTTTGTTTGCTATGCTTCTAAAAGGGAAATCTTTGTGATTTCCAATAAAAGACATAAAGTACAGCTGTTACCATATACATATAGCATCACCTCTATATACTTTGTAGGAATGTAAGTTTTAGTAATTGAAACAAAGCTTCCAGGAAAAAGATTTCCCACTTTTAAGATTTGTTGCATTCTACAATAAATCATCTTCCAGAATTTCTGAACTTTATAACATTGCCCACCAAATATGTAAGAAGGATGAGACATAATCACTGCATTTACTACACTTTGAGATAATGAATTATCTACTTTGACAACCTGCACTGGAGTAATGTGAGTTTCCAGATTCAATTCAAAGTGCTGCTTATCATCTACCATCACTATCCCGTAGCCTGGATGTTTCAAGGACTGTCTTTCTCCATTTTTTTTTCTATCCATCTTTTAAGATCCAAGGAATAGCATGATCCATGACCTGCCTGCTAAGTAGTACATCTTATGGGATACAGGAGCCTCCTTTGTTGCTACATTTGCCCTCTGGAACACCATTGTCCCTGAGATCAGGACAACTTTGAACTTTCTATCCTTCAGGAGAGCTTTGAAGACCAGGCTTCTTCTCCAGGATCTGCACTAGGATGTCATCTGTATCCATTATAGGGGATGAATTATATTGTTGTGTGATGTTATTATGTAATGGATTTACTTTTCTTCCTTCACAACATGACTAGGCTTTTTTCCTTGTGTTTTTTCCTTGTGTTTTTAACATAAAGCTTGTATGCTGCTCAGAAACATTAGAAAGTGGGCAGTTCTAGAAAGTTAAATAAATAAACAGTTGGCAGCTGACCTGCAATTGTCTTCACTTTTGCTAACATAAGAATGTGGCAAATAGGCAGGGAACACAAGTCAAACAATGCTTGGACTTCCCATGAACAAAAGTCTCCTTGATCCCTATGCAAAAGTGAAATAACATTAACTGCTAGCACTCCCTATCTCTGCAATTCCAAAACTTATTGTACTTATTTGGTTACCTGCAAATAAGAACAGTTGCTAAAGAGAAACCACTGAAACCTCTCTGAACCACTCTGAAACCAGCAAGCCACCCTTCCTTTGTTGCATTTAAAAAGTTCTTGCTAGCTGGGTTGACAAAACATTAATGCCCCAGTAATTTACAACTCATTGCTTTCCCAGTAGCTACAGCCTTAGTTTTATGTTGGTAAGATCCCTGGGGCAGAGCAAGGGGAAAATACATTCTAATAATAATAATGCCTTCAGACATGAACCAGAAAAAGAAATCCACTTGCTAAAACATGGCAAACTGAAACAGTTCTAGAGAAACAATCTTATCTTTTACTCTAAACCAGTGGTTCTCAACCTGTGGCTCGGGACCCCATTTGGGGTCGAACGGGGGGTCGCCAAACAATGCAGTCCGCCATTTTTTCCCACTTTTCCTTAGCTGTGCTACTCCCTTTTATTCTATTGGCTTTTGAAAGCCAATAGAATAGACTCTCTTGAATAGAGTCTAATTCTATTGGCTTTCAAAAGCCAATAGGAATTGTCCAGGCTGTCTCTGCCCTGCTGAGCCCGCCAAAAGTCCCATTCTGCAAACGGTGCTGCACCAGTTGAGTAGTCCTCGACTTACGACTGGTTGGGGATCACGGCATTAAAAAGGTTGAGAACCACTGCTTTAAACAGACAAGAAACAAAAATTGCTAGAACTCTTCTCCCAATCCATAAGGCAATTGCTCAAAACAATTCCAGCCAGCCTATGCTTTGCATGATGGCTGATATTCTACTAAATATATTCTACTACTATTCTATTAAAAATAAAGTGTAAGCAGATACAACCTTTTTGCCTAATCTAAAAGTTTTCAAAATCTGAGTAACTGCTTTCAGATGTGTCACCATATCTTCAAAATGTGGGTAATTTCTAGTTTGGTTTGTATGTACCCCACCCACTGTTTGCCCCTATACCTGAATCAGAGCATGCCAACACATCACTCACTTCAGCTAGCAAAAAATATCACTTGATGTTTATTTATAAGGATAGAAGCACATGAGAAACATCAAAGTATTTACATTGTCCATATATCTATTTATAGCTACCAAAAGGGCCACAACTTTCCAAGCCTGCTGGAAACAATATTGTGAGTAGTTAGTGTGAACAGTGACTTTGGTTGTTTTGGTTTAGCTCTTTTATTTATTTAACAGCAGCAGAATAGAAATAAAAGTACCAATAAAGGAGAATATTTGTAGCTCAGGATTGAAATGAGAGATCCTTGGTGTTCTCTGAGCTTGCTTGTTTTCTTGCAGATATTTCATTACCCAAACTAGATAACCTCAACCACACTGAAGCTGTTACCTACTTTGGGTAATGAAACATCTGCAAGAAAACAAGCAAGCTCAGAGAGCACCAAGGACCCCTCAGAAATTAAAGTAGGATATGAGGTGATCAGTCCTCTATTCTGTACCATAAAGGGAACAATTTAATAAATAGGGATTGGTTGGTGATTGATTAAATGTTTATGCCACCTTTATTTTTCAACACAAACACTTTATTTGTCAATTCCAGGTGAGCATATATATTTAATGCTCCTGCCTCCTATTTTCCCCACAACAACCCTGTGAAGTGGATTGGCTTGAGAGAGATTGACTGGGCAATAGTTACCCATCAGCTTTCATGTCTAGAATTCATGACCTTCTGGTTTTAGATCATGTATTCAACACAAAGTAGGTTGCAAGAAGCTGCTGGTATTACAGGAAGAACAAATATCCAGAGATTCTCAACATTTCAATCCTCTGTGAGCAGGATGAACTGCAGGGCTAGGCAACCAACTTCTGCTTTTGTGGCACAAGAAGGGGGGGGTTGCAGGGGAGTCTCTGAACATGCAGTGCTCTGCTAATGACACAAAACAATGCCGTGGTGCTATGGGGCCAGCCCCTGCTCAGCAGTTAAAAAGCCCTGGGGAAATCATTTGCAATGAGCTTCCCTATGACGCCAAGAGGCAGTGGATTTTTGTATTGGGGCATGCAGATGGGATCTGGCCTCACAGTCTGGTACAGGTAATCCTCAACTTACAGCCATTCATTTAGTGACTGTCCCAAGTTACAACAAGTCTGAAAAAAAGGTGACCTACAAAGTCCTTGCACTTACAACCATCACAGTCACATGATCAAAATGTGGGCGCTTGGCAACCGGCATGTACTTATGACGGTTGCAGCATTCTGGGGTCATGTGATTACCAACTGTAGCTTTCTAACAAGCAGTGTTGGTGGGCAAAGACAGATTCACTAAATGATCATATAATTCACTTAACAACTATGGCAAAAAAAGAGAAAAGTTATAAAATCTTTTTAGGCAAACAAAATTGCATAAAAGCTGATGCAACTCATTTAACAAGTGCCTTGCTTAGCAATGGAAATTCTGGCCCCAATTATGCCTGTAAGTCAAGGACTAACTGTACAGCAGGCACTAAGGACTTGAGGGGATGATTGACAAAAAAAAGGTGAAGGCACTAAGGGTTTGTCCTCTGGACAAGGGAAAGAACAGAGAGTTGGCCCTTTGGGAGATGTGGGGCGGAGGTGAGAACTTCAACCATACACTTGCCTGCAATCAGCAAAGTCTCAGAATTCTGAGCAGCAGGCAGAACAATAACTCATTCCAGAACACTGCCGGGTAACAGGGTTTCTAAGACAACAAAGAGGGCAGGTGAAAAGAGATACTGCTGTGTCTTCCTGTGTGAACCTGATTGGAAGGAAAACATGAGGACCAAGCTGTCACAACTTTACAGTATCACCATAAAAAAGTGGGTGTTTTTCTCTGATGAATTGCCTGAGTAAATGAATATAATTTAACTGCACATTCCAATAAGATTTGCAACTGTCATTTTAGTAACATGGTAAACTATTTGGTGAAAGTAGGTTCCCTGACAAAAATATGAAAAATATTTATCCAAGGCTGTTATGTATATGGGAATAAGTTGCAAGAATCTGCCAATATCTAAACAGGCTGACAATCTTTTATGTACTTGAAAAAGGAGCCCACGGGATTTATTTATTTTATTTTATTTATGAGACTTATATACCGCTTTAAGTGCAAGCACTCTCTAAGCGGTGTACACCAGTAAGCAATGTATATATATATATACATTGCCCCCAACAATCTGGGTCCTCATTTTACCTACCCCGGAAGGATGGAAGGCTGAGTCAACCTTGAGCCGGTGAGATTTGAACCGCTGACCTGCTGAACACAGTCAGCTAAAGTGGCCTGCAGTACTGCATTCTAACTGCTGAGCCACCTCGGGATGATGGGCATTTGTCCAATCATCTGCAAAATATCTATGAGTAGCCTGAAGTGAGGTGCATTTGTACTGTAAAGCCATCAAGCCACCCTTTTCCTTTCAAGCAAAATGCTATAGCCCAGAAGGAGAAGGAAGCAAGAGTTCCCATAGCCCTCTCACAGGTTCTGCAAATTTTCATTATTACAAACAGAAAAACTGCTTTTGGAGCAATTTTGTACACTGCAGCTGGGCCAGGTTAAGTGAGGGTGACCACTAGATGATAGCAAAAAGAATTTTCTGTTCCTCTTTTGTGCTACTTGGTGACAATCTAGATTTTTGCAGCTCAAATCTTATAGTTCTAGACCCAATGCTTGGTAGTATCATTTTAATATATTGTAAGTTTCAATATCCATGCCAGATTTCATTTATGTTTCTTTCCTTTACCAACAGGAAGAATCTCGACAGACTTGAGGACATTGGGCCTTATCCAACAAAATGCAATTCAGTTTTTATTGCACTTAGGCAAGAAAAAACAAGTGCACACAATATTGATTGTAAAGTTTGTGTGTCAGTGTGTATTTAAACATTACTAAATAATTAATTAATGGTGGTTGGTGAGTACATGGGTTGGTTTTGGATCAACATAACTTAACGGTTATGGGAAAAAGTACCTGAAAATTGGTTTTAGTCTTTTATGAAAACAGTCTAAAGAATTACACTTGAAATATTGATTAAGTTGAATATCCCATATATCATTTCTAAGTTCATCACTTTGAAATACATAATTAATTACCAAGCTATTTGATCTAGGATAGTTTTCATACTCAGAGCTATTTGGAAAAGAAGGGATTTATTTATTTATTTATTTATTTATTTATTTATGAGACTTATATACCGCTTTAAGTGCAAGCACTCTCTAAGCGGTGTACACCAGTAAGCAATGTATATATATATTTACATTGCCCCCAACAATCTGGGTCCTCATTTTACCTACCCCGGAAGGATGGAAGGCTGAGTCAACCTTGAGCCGGTGAGATTTGAACCGCTGACCTGCTGAACACAGTCAGCTAAAGTGGCCTGCAGTACTGCACTCTAACTGCTGCGCCACCTCGGCTCATTTAAGAGATTATCAGACAAATTATACATGCACTGGGAATTAGGACATTTCCAACACTGTCATCAATTTCACCCCTCAAAATCTTACTTTTTCAAATATTCAAATCTAGGTATATACACAACATGGCATCTGAACATACATACATACACACCCACACCCACCCTTTTGTAATTTAAATAGATACAATTCAGTGGCAACTTTCAGAAGTGATCTGGAAGATAATCAAAGTTACAGAATGACCATATTTGACCAGAGGCGCCTGTAGTAAACCCTAGTTCTTATCATCGGGACTGTTTATCTTATCATCAAGACTGTTTATTACACAAATAATTCTTGCTGATTAGCAGAGAATGGAGACAGATAATTTTCTATCTCTTTTATCCTATAAAAAAGTTTAGTTCCACTATTACATCTATGCTTACTGGAGGGACAGATGCCTAAGGAATACATGGATAAAAGCTGCTAAGGCAAATGTTATTTTAACTGTCACTTAAGTTTGTTTCCATATATAGTGTACCCACCCACCCACATATGGATTTAATATAAGAAGTATTAAAATTCTTGTAAATTATTGCAACTTAGCATTAAACACTAAAAATGTCTAGGAGTTCCATATCAATATCATTCTATCATCCTTTCTATGTATTAGATAAACAGTTATAGAAATTGAAAAAGCAAATGACCTCCCAGCTACCCTCCCCCATTCTTTTTAAACTGGCAAGGAGAGAGAATGTCTCCCAAGTCAACTCCACATTGTTTGAAATTTATAATAGGAAGATAACATACAGTTTTATGGAAGTACAGAGGTTGCTCAATTCATAGGGTGTCCGTGTGTTCAGATTTAAAGAATATTGCCTCATAATGATTCCATTTGAATGACTGGCCAGTCTAAGTCCACTTTAAAGATGTTTTAAGGAGAAGCATTCTGTCTGAACATGAGCGTTTCTAAGAATGGGAATTTAACCTGAGCAATAATGAGTTAAGCAGATTGTAAAGCTATAACAGAAAGATTTATTTGAAGAATATTACAGGGATAGGCAATACTTTGTGATATTCTACTGGCTGAAAGCACATGTCCAAATAACGAGTCATTGAGCACCCCAATCCCTTTTTCACATATAGTGATGGCATGTGGAAATGACCTAGGGTGATCTTGTGAGACAACAAGATGTAGCTAAGGCAGTGGTTCTCAACCTTTTTAATGCCGCGACCCCCAACCAGTCGTAAGTTGAGGACTACCCAAGCGGTCGTAAGTCGAGGACTTTCCCTGCCCAGGAGTGCCACACATGCGTGGTGCCGCCCCCTGTGCTGGCCGAGGCGTAGCTGGCAAGCGGCAGAGACGGAGCAGGCCGACCACCGGCTGGGGCACCAGCTGGCCCAGCCCAAGGGAGGTAAGGCACCCACCGGGCCCCACGCATGCCAGCAACCCTCCCTGCACCCGCCGGCCTCCCACCTCCCACCCCTGGCCCTCTTTTACTTATATTTTTAGTAGTTGCTCAGCAGGGAGGGGTGGAAGCTTCTAGACAGCTCGCCTTTGCTGTAGACAACTTGCAGCACCATTTGCAGAATGGGACTTTTGGCGGACTCAGCAGGGCAGAGACAGCCTGGACAATTCCTATTGGCTTTTGAAAGCCAATAAATTAGACTTTATTCAAGAGAGTCTATTCTATTGGCTTTCAAAAGCCAATAGAATAAAAGGGAGTAGCACAGCTAAGGAAAAGGGGGGAAAATTGGCGACCCCCGTGAAATGGTCGTTCGACCACAAATGGGGTCCCGACCCACAGGTTGAGAACCACTGAGCTAATGGAACAGTGGGAAATATGCTAGCTAAGCCCACAACAGAATGTGGGAGGAGCCAGAAGCTCAGAAGAGACACACACACCCAGGAGAACAGGGGAAGAGAAATCCTTCCAGATTTTCAAGATTCTGTTAATGTAATCTTAAAATAAAGTTTCCTGTCTGATCTACCTAATACATATTCTATAAACATTAAGACTAATACATATTCTATAAACATTATACAAACAAGGGATGGATTTTTTCTCTGTATTTATTGTTTAAGTACAAAAAAACAAAAAAGAATACAAATGTATAAAAGGGGGGAGCTGAAAAAAATATACAACAGATAAGATAGGAGAATGGAGTTGGGTGAGGGGCTACCAGAATGTCCTCTTTATAATTTGATAATTTTCATTTTTTTCACTATGTTTAATTATGTATATTTTACTTTTACCTATTTTGGGCGGCTTGTATGTTTTACTTAACCAATAAAGAAAGAGAGGTTCAAATAACTCCAAAACTTTCTATAGATTTTTAAGTGATATCCTTTTCAACATGAAATATTTTTGAAATGAATTCATTGCATTTATGTGGTTGGAGATGCAATGAAATTAACACTTAATTTAAATCTATTGTTCTATTTCAATAAGAAGCAATTACACGTATTAACTCTTCTTTGAGATTTAATATTTGCTATCACATGGAAGTTGACTTCTGGACAAAAAACATGAACTTACAGTCAAAAGACTTATTGTACAGTACTGGAAAAACAAACATATGGCTCCAATTATTCAACGGTTTGCAGGATTGATTTATGTAGATAATTATGATTTCAGTTTATTGATATCTGTGTGATAAGGAGTGGGCCTTTGATTGCCTGGTTGCACCCAACATTTTTATATCATTAATCACCCTTGCTGTCAGCCCTTCAAGGTTTTTCAGATTAGGAAACAGACTCCATAAAAAAACTAGAACGATACTTTATTGAGTCAGTATAATAACAGAATCCTGCAAGTCTGCATTTTCCCTTCCTCTCGTCTTAAACCCAGGGAGTCAGGGAGGAGCCAGTCTGAATCCCTTCCAAATACTTTGTTTTTCTCCAGGGCTCAAGGATGCATCTCCATCTTATGTTCTTGTAACAGTTTCTGAATATTTTCTCCAAAATCATCTCCAGGATTCCTGATACCCACAGGCACCTGGAAAGCACTAGATGAATTTGTGTCTGAGAAGTGATCTAAGATTAGCAGTCTCTTAGACCAACAGCAAGTAGTGACAGACAAAGAGATGACATAGAATAACTTCAGGGAAGCAAGGAAGCAAAAATAGGGAGAAGGACATATTTATCCCTGTCTTGCCTTCCCACCCGAAGGCAGGACAAGAAGCAATGGATTGAAACTAATCAAGGAGAGAACCAACCTAGAACAAAAGAGAAATTTCCTGACAGCTGGAGTGACTTGCCTACAGAAATTGTGGGTGCTCCAACACTGGAGATTTTAAAGAAGAGATTGAACAATCATTTGTCTGAAAAGTTATAGGTTTTCCTGCTTGAGCAGGTAGTGTACTAGAAGACCTGCAAGGTCCCTTCCGTTATACTGTTATTCTGTTTAAGGAACTTTGGGTGATGGATGCA